GAGTGGTACCTGGGATGGAGGAATGTACAGCCATTAACTGTCTACCAGCCCTGGCAGTTTGGCTCAGTGGATACAGTGTTGACCTGCAGACTGAAGGGTCTCGGATGCAATTCTGGTCGACGAGCACGTACCTTGGTTGCAGGTCCCCTGGCCTTGGTTGGGGTTTGACATTGATATTTCTCTCTCTCTCCCTCTCCTTTCACTCTCTCTAAAAAATCTATGGAAAAACATCCTCGGGTGAGGATTAACAAAAAATAAATAAAGTTGTCTGTTATCAGCATTGCTACCCCAGCTAGGATATTTCAGGACGATGTGTACGTGGGGGATCAGTGCACCATCCATCGCTGCCTCCTGCACGCCCCCTACTGGGGACCAAGCCCACAACCCGGGCATGTGCCCTGGCCAGGAATAAACGGTGACCTCCTGCTTCTTAGGTGGACGCTCAGCAGCCACGGAGCCACGCTGGTGAGGCCCCTCTACAACTCTTTTGACCCCTTTTTGCTTTCCTTCTGACCCCTTCTCCCCTACCCGGCACCCGTACCCTTTCCCGGTTCGCCCAAATATCCAGCTTTTCTCGGCCTCCGTGCTCTTCCTTCAAGGCCGCTCTATTACCACCGCGGACCCCATGGGCTCATCCCAGCCCCGAGCCCGGCCGGACCGGCGACTACAGCAGGTACCACCCTCCCGGTGCCTCCGCCGCCGCTTCGTTTTAAATTTCCTCCCGGCTCCGCCCCTAGAACGATGTAATAGCGCTGAGACTGCCCTACGGTGGCCCTGGGAGGACAACATTCTTCCCAGCTCCCTTCGTTTTTTCTTCCGCTTTCTCTCTGGTCTGTTCATTGGCTGGAGATATTCTGAGCCTTCACAGCCAGCAAGCTGGGCCCCAGTTTGATTCTTCACACAAGCTACTGTGAAACCCCTAGGAGTTCGATGATAAATAATAAGAGAAGCCTAACACGTACCGAGCAGGTACAGCTTGAAGATTTCTCATACACATGTCATCTTCACATCTTTGACCCCCTCCCTTTTCTCTACTTACCCATCCAACCAAACGTTTCTCAGAAGAGGTGTCTCCATTTCTCACCTCCCATCTTTTCCCCAACTCATCGAATTAGACTTTGATCCTCACCTCTCCTATAAAACTATACTTATGCAGGTCAACTGGGACTTCCATGGTCCCAAATTCTATGGCTATTTTGGTATTCTCATCCTATCCGACTTTTAGAACACTAAAACAGACTCCTCCTCCTTCTGGAACACTTTCTTCTTTTTGCTTCCATTTCTACCTTTTCCACCTTACTTCAGTGGCTCCTCCTCAATTTCCATTGCTGGATCCAAAGGTACTGTTTCGCCTATAAATGTTGGAGTAGCCAAGGCTTTACCCTTAGCCCTGGGCCCTCTTCTCTTTCCTGTTAACACTGTCTAGATGACCTCATGCGACTCCATGGCTTTACAATTCAGCTCTATTCTAGTGCCTGCAGAATTTCTATCCCAAGTTCTGACCTCCCCCCTGATCTCTAGACTTATATATTCAAGTGCCTATTGGACATTTCCTGGTGGATATCTAATAGGCATCTCATTCTTAACATGTTCAAAACAGAACATTTTCCCCACTGCCCCCCCCCAGTCTTCCCTATCTCTGTAAATGTTACTTAGTTGCTCAAACCCAAACCTAGAAGTTATCTTTCAGTACTTTCCCTTATCCCCACCCCCACTCTAAAAACAAGTTCTACCAACTCCAAAGTACATCTTTAAACTACTGCTACTACCCTAGTCCAGGCCATTATAATTTTTTGTCCGAAGTACTGGGTCAATTTCTAACATTACTTCTATTCTTGAGTAGCTTCCTATCTCTCCCCAATATAATCCATTCTTCATGCACAATCAGAATGTTCTTCTAACATTTAAAAATATATTTTTTAATTAATTTCAGAGAGGAGGGAAGAGGGAGAGAGAGATAGAACCATCAATGATGACAGAGAATCATTGATTAGCTGCCTCCTGCATGACCCCTGTATATGGATCTGTTGCTCTTCTCTTCCAGTCTTTTTGTCTAAAGAATTCTTATTCTTCAAAAAGTGTAAGTCCCATCTCCACTAGCAAGCCTTTCTGGATCCCCTACTTTCACAGCTTTCAACCCTACTCCAACAGGCAAATTTAACCTAATCTTCTAGACATCATACTGCAACCTTCATTAGAAAAAGCTCCATTAACACATTTATCTCCCTATATTGTCATTATTAGTTTAAACATGACTATTCCCACTGGATTGGAGGTCCTTTGAGAGCAGAGATTTTGTGACATTCATTTTTATATTTTCAGTGCCTAAGAGCAATGACATGCTGCGGGTAATCAATAAATATTGAGTGAATGAAGGAGTCAGGTCAGTGACCTGCCAGTAGTTCAGGGAAAGCCAACTCAGGCTCTTGGGTAATTCATTTCAGCCCAGAGCCAGGTGTTTCGCAGAGTCAGCAGGGCTCTGGCTGCTGTTCTCCAGCTCTGGTCTCTGGTGAGGTTCCCTGTGGTTGTGACTCTGTGTCCCAGTTTCCTTATCTTCAATTAGTGGACGATGAAAGCATCTCCTCGGGGTTGTTGGAAGGATTACAGGAGACAATGCGTCAGAAGCTCTCAGCACAGTGTCTGGCAAAGGATAAAGTGTTGAATGACGGAAAGAAATGACTTGAGGTTGCCCGTTCATTTATCAGCACTCCCTATAGGTCGGGCTCTGCGTTAAACACAGCATGTTAAGTGCAGAGAAGCAATCGCCACACACAGGCGTGGTCTTAAAACAGGCGGCACGGGATCAGGAAGGTTCCCTGAAACCTGAGTCTTGTTAGGGGAGCAGCTTGAAAGCTGCGTGGGAGTGGGAGGTGGGCCGAAGCGCTGGAATCGGAGTGGAGTTCCAGTCCTGTTATTAGCTGCTTGACTTTGGCCAAGTGACTGAATCTCCTTGAGCTTCCCCAACTGTAAAAAGGTCTGCTAAGAACACCCGCCTGCCAGGGTTCCAGAGAGGCCACCTGACACTGTTGGCCAAGGCGCGCTCTATTGAGAAGTCACCAGACGCCAAGGCGAGTCACTATGGACTACGGGGTTCTACGCTCCACGCGCAGGAGCGAGTTTCCTTTGTGAGCATGCGCAGTGCGCCCGCGGCGCGGCCCGTCAGGCACTGCGGTAGGCGCCCTAGGGGTTGGCAGGACCCTGACCCCAAGATGGCGGCGCCCAGTGAAGTGGACGCACCTGCCTCCGGCGAAGGCAGTGGGGAGGGCAGCTGTTTCGGATCCTGGCTGGATGGACGGTTGGAGGCGCTGGGAGCGGACCGAGCTGTTTACGGCGCCTACATCCTGGGTGTCCTGCAGGAGGAGGAGGAGGAAGAGAAGCTGGACGCTCTGCAGGGCATTCTCTCTGCTTTCCTGGTGAGGAGCCCCACTCATTGCTGGCCAGCCCCCGTCAGGACTTTGTGTCCCCGTCCCCCACCCAGAGTCCCCGAGGATTGGTGGGTCTTACCTGGGAGAGGACTGCTCTTCTGGAGTTCCGGGCCATGGGGAGGGGGGGTGACCCCTCTCCAGGGTTTGGGGAACCAGGAAGGTTATAGGTCCTTAGAGAGGGGAATGGCTTTCCCTTATTCCTGGGGACAAGGCTCTGTCGGATGCCCGTGGGTGAGTATTCGGAAGGCGTTGAAATGTCTAAATCGGAGTTTTACCATAAACACCTAACGACCAGTTTCATTCCCACCCGTTGGCAGCGTGCAGAGCGGGGAGGAAAGTGCTCTGGGGTGTGTCTGTCCTTTAAGAGGCAAGTGCCCAGCACTGGCCCCTGACAAAGGCCTCTCTCGGTTCCTATTTTGGGGGTAGAGGTCTTTTCATGCCCAGGCAGAACTGAAGCTAATATTGTGCTTTATCCTTTATAGTATTTACAAATGCAATAGTCGTTGTGTTTGGGGGTGGGATGAGGGAAGGGGGAGTGAGTTGGAGTTGGAATAAAAGATCAGAGTTTAAAAAAAGAAAGATAAACTTGGCACTTACTCTTAGAGGCAGATTCAAGAATTCAGAAATGTTTGCTTTAAGCTGTGTTTAAGTAGTCAGTCACCAAATTGTCTGCTTTTCCTGATCATTTCTGCTGCCTTCATCTCTACTAATACTTACTTGGTGAAAGGGTAGTTTATGGATCAGGTACGTGGTTGAAATATAACACTAATGCAGCTGTCCCGGGACCTTCTGGCCAGGGCCCCAGCGCATGGTCTGGTGAGACTGGCTTACTTATTTTTGGGAAAGTCTTAACACAGCTTGTGATGCAGCTCATAAGGTCAGTGGAAATACAACACAGCAGAATAAATTCTTTTCTTGGACCCTGACATTATAGGTTGTAGAGGGAAAGAGTAGGAGGTAAGCAATTTAAGTTAGTTTTTATTTCCAGCTGGGAAGTTTCTAAAGACTCTCTGAAAAAGAAGTTGAAGTAACTTGGGTACCCATTGGTACCAATTTCTTGACCTGTTTTTTTTCGTGGTGTCATTATTTGGAGCTGTATGTCTGCTGGTAAAGACAGGCATGAATTTGCCTTAGACTCTTAACAGTCTCTTGGCATGAAAGTGATAAACCTTGGAGAATGTACCGAGTTGGATATATTGGCCAAAGAAGATTTCACAGAGGAGAAAGGTTTTGACGTAGGCAACAGGTTTTTGCTCCAAAAGCATGAGGAGGACTGCCCTGAGTTGGTGGGGATCCTTTCCTCTGGATCTTGGCAGGATAAAGGGGGTGCCCTTGACCTGGCAGGTGTGGATTCTGGGACTCACACACAGGATTACTTCTGTATCCAGCGCCTTGAAAGAGAAACATACTTTCTGTT